ATCGGGTCTTTAATCTAGTGTCACACGGGAATCACATATATTAATAATCACACCCCTATATAAATACTATTTAAAAAATGATCTACGTTTATTTATCACATGACGCCTCTTTATGGTAATTGTTAACTCAGGATAGCCAATGTCCCTGCTGAAGATCGATATATTAATTGTCCGAAGGACACTACAGACGGAGCAATAGTACACCCGATGCCTGTGTGTTAGCAAATTCTGGATCTTGACTGGTTGTTTATAACGTAAATCAGTATGGATGGTATGATAACTAGATTCGTGTGGTATAGGGGTGTAAAATACCCTATGGGGGCATCCATAATTTACGTTAATCCAGTACTGTATTGTATAGAAATAGAGACTTTGAATATAATACCATATAGTATTATCTTTAAGATCCCTATAACAATACTGGTTTAACGTAAATTATGGATGCCCCCTATTTTAAAATCTGATCCTGTACTGTATTGTTAGGGTTAGCATAATTATAGCTGGTATTGTTTTTAAAATAGGTATTTACAACTCTATACCATACAATTCAAGTCCATACTTCGAAATTACAAAAGATCTGTATGGTATGAATGACCAGAATTGTATTATATAAGGGTGAAAATACATATTTAAAAAAATACTATACAATTTGCTATAATTTCTAACATAATAATATATAACACAGGATCAGTATACAGTAGGGTGGTTCACGAATTTTGAAATTAGTTGTAAATTTAGAAATAATTATTTCTAAATCCCGATTCTAATAGATTTTTTATAATAATACGAAATTTGTTATAAATTATATTTATTTTCAACCTTTTATTTAACAATCAAAACTTTTTACCACTATGAACAATTATTTACTATCTCAATTAATCGAAGATTCAACAGAATCAAGTAGCGATAGTGATTCATCTCATGATGATTTACAAATTATAAATATTATTTTTCGAAGATATTTACATAATAGATTACTTACTTCTCGTACTGATACTATACCCAAGTCCAATTTTTGGTACAGAAATCTTTCTTTTTAAATCCGATGAAAAAAGATTTCAAATAGCATTTCGAATGAATATGCCAACTTTTTGGAAAATTATAGATATGATTAAGAATAATTCAGTTTTTAATAGTCGTCAACGGCCAATTGAATTACAACTTTCTGTTGTTTTATTTTTGTTAGGTAGAAAATCTACTATCTGTGATGTTGCAACAAGATTTGATATTTCAGAAGGATCAGTTGTTAAATATTCAGAACGAATTATTATTGCTATTCAATCTTTACGAACACAATATGTTGTTTGGCCACAAAATGATTATAGAACACAAGTCACTTAAGGATTTGAACAAATAGAAGGATTTCCTAATACAATTGGTATTATTGATGGTACCCATGTTCACTTGTTTAAAGCTCCTAGTAAACCAAACAAACATGTATATATTAACAGAAGAGGACGATATGCTATTCATGTACAAGGTGTTGTAGACCATTTAGGACAATTTATTAATTATGAGATTGGATGGCCAGCATCTGTACATGATGCTAAAGTTTTTTCAAACTCATCACTATATATTCAACGAAATAGTTTATTTCAAGATGATAACTATATTCTCGCTGATTCTTCTTATCCTATTTCAAAATGGTGTATTCCATCATTTAAGTCACCTACTCAACAACAAATTCGATTTAACAAAAAACATAGTAAGACACGTGTTATAGTAGAACAGGCATTTGGTAGATTAAAAAATCGATTTCAATTTTTAAAAGAAATGATACTAAACTTGCTACCAAATTTATAGAAATAGCACTAATTCTTCATAACATAGTAGAAAGAAATAATGATATTTGGACATTACCTCCAAGAACACGATCAGAATCAAGAGATGTAATAAGATTTGCAAATAGTCAGAATCGTAGATGTCAAATAGGGTATGATAAAAAGGCAAAAGTTAATGGATTTTGTTCTTTAAATTTGCTACGCAATTTCGCTCAGTAAATTTTTATAATAAAAAATTTTTTAAAGCTTAACAAAAAAACTAACTAGCTAATTTTGCATAGCCTTTAAATTTCTAAATTACTAAATTACATATTTTGAGTTAACGATAAAATCCGCAGAACAAAACGTCAAAGTTCTTAATATAATACATGTATAAAAAATATATATTGGCTTTAAAAGTATGATAAAATCTCAAATAAACACGTACTATATAGTTTACAAAAAAAAAAAAATTCTTTAAACGAAAAAATATTTCTCATAATCTATGCTGAATCGTATCTTAAACAAGAATAATACTAGCGTTCCTTAATGTTAAAGACGTTTCACTATTATAATTAAACTTTATAAGCTTTGTTATCCTTACATACTTCCGAATATACTTACATATTAAGTACGGCCAACTCCCTTTATAATAGTACCTTTTTATAATTATTTCTGTTATGTCTTCAAGTCACAAAAGAAAAACAGAAACCATTCAAAATACAGGATGGTTGATGAAACACATGGTAGAAGTAGTGATGCAAATTACACCGAAGTTACTGGATTGCGAGAAAATCCTTGGCCATCAGGAAAGCGAAAACTGTTAAGTTTCCACCACTCCAGTGGATTAACATTCATTGGTTAAATAGCTTCGTTCGAATATAGAGTAAGCTCATCCTCAGAAGTTTCTTGCAAAGTCATTTCCTTAAAATCAATTAGTCGTAATCATTAAATATAGTTATGTTGAGTAATTTTTTAACAGTTATAACGTTGATGAAAATAATACCTTGACATTGGCAAAAGCGAATGAAGGATCCATCGCTTTTCTTTGTCGTTTATGAGAATCTCCATTAGAAAGTATAATACCTTCACCAACCACTTTTTATGATTGGGAAATAGCTTGGATAATCATAAGAACGATTTACTAGTACTTATTGGACAAGTTTTGGATCGGAAATCAATATAAAGGGGTTGTTTAATAAAGCATGTAATCGAAATATTCCACCATATTGTTTTACTAAGTGGACAAAACCAGTGTCTTGTGAATTTTGGGAATTAATATAAGAAAGGTCGTTGGGATCCATTTGGACGATTATTATAAGTACCAAATAACAAATAGTTTACAAAATATTACAAAATATTATTATAGTTTATTATAAATTTATTATCAATACGAAAAGTTTATTATATTAGTTATGTCATAACGGTTACTATAGTGGTTACGACATATTATAATCATTAATCGGCTCACGGCTCTAAACCGGCTCCACTTAACACAAGCCGAGCCTCTAGTTAGCTGAGCCGTTAGTTAACCGAGCCGTTAAATTACTCAGCTAAGCCCATCGGCTTATGGTTCTGCAGAGTCGTTTTGCATCACTAGGTGGAGGTTTTCGTTAAAAAGAAATTTTACGAATGCGCTGTACCTACTTAAATAAAGAGATCATTGTGGCTGGTTAATGCGCCATCAACCAGTCACACATTCAAGAATTGCATTACTGAGGAACCGTTTTAGCTTAGTTTTGAAGGCTTTCCAGATTTTGTGATTTTACTCCGTTCCGGAGACGAAGTTTCGGACGATTAAAAAAATTTGAAGTGAGCATCATATGCAAATTTAAGTTGTTAACTACAATTCAATTAATTTTAAATAATTCAAAGTTTTGAATTGCAAGAATATGAATTAACGGCTTCTAATCATGGAAGTATTGGGAAAAAAAATTGTTGGGAATGATTAATAATGCAGTAATAGTCATTCTCAAAGAATTGACCTTCATTCGATTCTAATCATTAGTTACAAGATATGATCGAATATATGGTAAAAGGGCATAAGATAATCGAGTTTATTTTGTTTGGGCTGAGTTAATGTAATCAAAATTTCGTGGTTTGATTTCCCATGATGTACGAGTCTAAATTCCCATCTATATAGCTGTCTGACATCTGTACTATATAATACTATATTTGAATCGTTACAAACACATAATACACAATGATCTTATGTGGATAAGATCTTTTAAAGAAATTCGCCTGTTTTTAGAGATACAAAATAACTGATTTGCATTGAATTAGAAGATATCATTAAACAAATACTCTACCGCAGAACTCAAACTAATTATTCACTATATTTAGGCTTTTTTTTTTCATTGCATCGTGGGATTATTGCATTTTACATCTATTGGCAGTTTTTTTTTACATTAAAGCTAATCAGTTGTAATTCGTAACCCTGATATATAATACTGTAATATATAACACCGGATCAGTATGTATAGATTTAACAATTTTCTAGATCTGCTTACCTATGGCCAGTGCAGGGACCCGAAAGATTAGATCACAATTAATCACAATCATTATTGGGTCATTATAAAACAATTCTTACCCTTTCAATGATGCACGTGATAATTGGCCAATTAAATTGTAGTATAAATATGATTACACAATCGACAAGAGATGGTAAATCTCAAAATACTAAAATATTTCAAGCACATTCACTCGTTAGGAATTAATATGTAAATTGTATAATATCTTTAAATTTAAATAGGCGCTCTGGTGGCTGGCTTGGATGCGGGATTAATATACAATGGATTTCCATATATGGAAAAACATAATCCTGAACTATTTGCAAGGTTTATCTGAGATGTAGGTCTTTATATGTTTGCAACAGATTAGCAAGCGAATATTAAAGATTTAATTGAGATTTGTAATCTACTAGAAATGTTGACAAACTATGTTCTTGGTTTAAAGACATTTTTCGCAATAGTGGTTTTAAATTATAATAATATTTTAGCAGAAATAGACCAAATCTTAATTTAGAATTTTTATAAATACTAAATATAATGTACTGTATTTTGGTTATAGTTTTATATCGCAATAAAAATCTTTTTTTGCCATTCCCAAAACATTTTTTACGATTATGGTAAAAAATTCGATGTGCGCATGTATGGATCACATGAGTGCGCACATTCTTTTCAAACTGAATTTTTTACACTGCCTATGATAAAATCTTCGTAATTTAAGGATTTAATTTATCACGACAGAGAACAAAAACCCTATAATAAAAAAATATTACACATGAAATGGGCTTTTTTTTTTTAGCAAAAAAGTTTCACATTGCTCGAAATACTTTGTATGTTGATTTTAATGGTTCTTTAAAAGGCGATACCAAAATTTGTGAAGTAAATGCAATATTTATACGTAGAAGTTCTCTTGACATTCAAAAAATAATGCAGGTTAAATTTTTCGAAATATAATATAATAAATATAACAATAATATGTTAATAGAATTAATATTACTAAATAAAAAATAAAATAGGTTTGCTATTTACGATTGATGACTTTCATAAACGAAAGAAGTAAATGAGGCTTTGAGCTTTCAATTTTATTACTTATTATTTACAGGATTTGGCTTTTAGAAACTTGTTAGTAGCATATATATGACACGTATTACAATAGCATATATCATTGTTCAGATTTTCACGAGCTGAATTCGATAAGTAATAAATGATAAAATTGAAAATCTCATGTTTCACTTTCTCTTGACAGTACTCAAATGATTTCTATACATTTTAGGCTCGTTTTGGTTCATACATTTTACTCTACTATTTATCTTAGTGAGTTAACTTTTTTATTCATTTTATTTTATTTTTATTTTTCTATCTCATATATTATATCATTCATTCATCATTTTATCAATCAATACCATCGTTACATATGAGTGTCCAGAGGATAATGTGACTTCAATTATATAAGTTTTATTGATTGAAGTCCCATTTTCCTTAGCATCGTACATATGGATTTAATTCACCCTTCGAAAGAAGCATAGTCCCGGGTTGTTAGCAAAAAATTCTAATATAGTATGTATGATGTACAAATTATCATTTTTTTCAATTTCAAGCTCATTATGCGCATCCTGCGCTAAAACAACCGTTGCTCGATGTCATAATAAGGGTTGCGTTCGCTAGCTAGGCGGTTATCAGCAATTACACAATCACAAACACTATAAAAGAAAAAAAATAATAAGAGTTACACAATTTTGCAAAGCGAACAACTTCTAAAGTAGCACATTAAAATCAAATATTTCTTAAATCATCGACTTTAATAAAGTATTTATACACACACTTTATTGATATTAATGCTTTAGAAAATATTTTATTTCAATATTTATACAGTCAGTTCTCTATAAGTGGAGATGTGCACTTACAGAGAATGTGCATTTATAAAAACGTGACTTGATTTAAAAACTTGTAATGTGCTGATCAAATGATATGCGCTTACGGAGAGAGAGGAGTGCACTTATTAAGAGTTGACTGTATAAGGTATAATTGTGGTTTTAAATCTCTTGCACTGTACATACGTACGTACGTTGTTATGCTTATGATAATATAGAATTTTTTTTTGTCGTTAAGACACATCAGCTGTGGTGCTTCGAAATCGGATTGACCGTTATTCACTGATTGACAGAAAGAGTTACTAACTATCGGGAAGAATTACTAAATATCGGAAAGAATTAGTAGCCACAAGGAAGAGTTCGAACTAACAAAGTAGAGAAATATATATAAACGATACTTCCCTGGTGTTTTCAAAGAATAATCCAAACATATAATTTCCATATTTAATATCACTTGTAAATAATACGATCCTAATAAAATAAAATATAATATAATTAATAACGTTTCTCTATTAAACATAACATAATTCAATGAACATTCATGATACTCATCTTATTGTGGTAACTATTATTAAATAAATTCATTGTGGTAACTAGAGTTGCAGGTGAAACTAATCTTCAATGGTGCACCGATGGTGCACCAGGTGAAACTGGTGAAACTGGTGCACCGATGATAAAACTAGAGTTATAGATGAAGCTAATCTTCAACGGTCCACCGATGGTGCACCAGGTGAAACTGGTGAAATTAATTAGTTTCACCTGCAACTCTAGTGGTAACTATTATTAAATAAATTCATTGTGGTCAGTAATTTAATTTTAATGTACAACTTGATTTAGTTTTCAGATTATGTTCAAGCAAATAATCAAGTAACACATTAAAGTTCATATTTCTTAAATTATCGATTTCAATAAAAGTATTTACATACACACTTTATTGATGTTAATGATTTAGGATTTCAATGTTTGTATTTTGGCTTTATAAGGTATAATTGTGGTTTTTATATTTCTTGTACCAGTACAGGAAATTTAAAATCTCAATATTTTTATGTAGAGATTAAACATAAAATAGTAGCACATCAAAAATAAATTTCCTAAATTATCGATCTCAATAAGCGAAGGGTTTAGAACTCTCAATCTCTTTGCGTAAAAACAATAAGCAAAGAACAATATGTACATAATAGCATGTACTGAGAATGGCAAATTTAATTTACTTCCAATGAGTTAACTATTGAAGTTTTTAGATTTCCTGCACCGTACGTACGTACGTACTTGATTATGCGTTACACTATAGAGATTATATAGGTTTTGGATTTCCGCACCAAGGCAGAAATTTAAAAATCGTCATCCTTCAAGTTAATGTGACATATGATCAGAAATCAAATATTTCCTAAATTAATAGTGTGTGTATTGATTGAAAATAGCCATCTTCCTTAATGTAATATATAATCGAGTAGTACAGTGAAATCAAATCTTTAGAAACTATTTATTTATGCTTTATCTTGATGATTGTGATTTTTAGATTTCTTGCAACCGTACAATACGCAAAGCCTTCAAAATAACATTTTTTTTTTTCTTAAATACAAGCTTTAGCTTGTTTCAAGTTATTCAAATCTATCCTATAAATGCAGTCTATCTAATTACTCTAATTTTAATATTTGTTCATTAATGGCATCGAATGGTGATAGTATACTTAATGCCACAACTGACGTGCTTTCGACTATATTTGTTGCAGTAATTGTAGTTGGCCTGTTTAAATGCTTCGAAAAAGATAAATTAAAGAATGTTTCTTTTATAAACATATTTGATGATTGTCTTATTTTTTTATCAGCTATCATATATCCTATTATTAGTGGAATTCAATGGTATTCCTACTATACCGATAATAACCAAAGTCGTTTTCGTATAACTTTATCGCTCTTTACTTCTTCTTGGATAGTATTCTATACCATATGGCTGGCAATGATCATGAAAAAAAACGTATAATTTCCATGTTACCCTTAACTATTATGAAACTCTATGTTTTCGTTGTTATGATTTCAATAGGAGGGCTTTCTATCTATCAATATCAATTGATTATTTATGGTGATATTGATAAAGGCGATATATCTTATGTTAGTGGATTTTGTAGTCAACACTTTGGAATTGAAAGATGCACCAATGTAAAAGCAATAGTAAATTATGTATCTTTAATTGGTATGGCACTCATTTCACCTGATGCTTTTTTTTACTCATTTATGATAATAGACCGATTTGAGAGTAAATATTATAGGATTAACAATTGGCTTAATAATATAGAGTTATTGGATGCGAAGCAGCCAATAACGGAAATTATTTGGAAAATAATTTCATTATCTGGCTGTTA